AGGAAGGAAGATCATATGGTCATTTGTTTTTCTTCTATCTTATTTGTGTTCTATTCTCTAGCTATGGAGTAGTCTCCAATTTTACTTTGATGTTGTGAACCCTAGCCTAGAATGTGTTAGATTGTAGGAATTGAACTCTATATGTGTTGGGTTTGTGAATTATATAATGTTTGAGGTATTATTCGTGGAATTTGGGTGTTGATTATTCATATCTCAATTTTGGGACAATTGACCTAGAAGAAGGAAATCCCCTTGTACCCCAATATTGGCAATTTCGGTAACCTTCCATAGGGCATTTCGGGCCATTTCTCATTCATCGAAATAGTGCCATGATATCGTCTTGATTGGTTATTTTTTTCCATTTCGGAATAACGTTCGAGGGATTTTTTTTGCGAACCTTGGTTGATCTATTAAGAGGTCTAGTGGTTTCCTAGCTAATAGTGTCAATCCTTAATTAATAAATTGAGAGGTCTAGGGGTAGCTAGCTAATTGCAAACTCCTCATGGTGTATGATCATCCCTATCACATTAGAGTTTCATTCGTTTTATCTTGACACGAGATTAGGGGGAGCAATGTTCGAGTAATGCTTTCTCAAATCGAACTCACCAAAGTTTACTTGATTTCTTGTTTTAATTACTAGTTTCCTTAGCTTTCACCACAATTTGGTCTTTAAATAACGTGTGAACAATTGAAGTAAGGGTATATAGACCGCTCGGGTTTATATTGAAATACTTACCCTATCCTACACCCTCTATAGGTTGTTGGGATTAAGAGTAGTGATAGCGCGAGTCACCCTACCCACTACACTCACAAAAAACATTTTTTCACGAGGAAGGGAGCGCTGAAGGTACTCATGGACCAAAGAAAACTTACCTCCTGTGGCCTCTACAAAATGGCGTCCCATATGTCGAATTAGGGCCAAAATTGGCGTCCGAAGAAAAACTTTCTGGGCCTCCAGAACAGATTCCCAAACCCGAGCCTTTTGGACTGCATAAGCAGAACCCAAGGTCATTTGGACCACAAGGGTTTGATAAGGGAAATTAGAGATGGACTTTTGCTATGCTTAAAATTTTCTCCCTATTAGATATGAGCTTTCGAACCATATTTTGGGGCAAGAAGCCCATGGGGAAGAACTTTACACGGGCAAACTCCATCTACGACGAGTTGGTCAGTCAAGGTGCATATCCCGCCTCATATCAACCAAACTTTGAAGACAAGAGTGAGGAGAATTCTTTTCCAAAGAAACTCCTACATAGAGAATTATATATCCCCTCACAATGATCTTCACATCTCCATGAGGAACTTCTACATGAAAAATAAGGCGGTCAAGAATTCCACACCTCATAAGGATAAGGAATTCTCTCTTCACTCTGGAATGGCCCCTCTTAATCGTACAAGCATAAAAGTTCTTCAAGAGGTGGTCAATTCTGCCAGGGAGGTGGATGAAGCCACCAATCCCCCATTAAGAGGATTAGACGGCTTCAACAACATAAGTAACTTTAATTAAGCAATAAGGGCACCATTTTCCTGCCTCCTTGGGAAGCTCCTATGCCTAACTATTGGGAAGGCGATATGACTCTTCCAATCAACATAGAAAAGGGTTTGGAACTCGTCCCTAGACAATTCTATGAGGGGAACTCGTTGTCAACTGGCAACAAGAGAGAATTCAAAGAAATGATGCGTTGATGACAATTTATTTATAGGGCTTGTCACTCCCACTATCAATGCATCTTTAGCCATTTCGATGGAATTTTTTTGTCTAAATCACAACTTTATGATCGATGAGCTTTTAATAGACCTAAGTTATGTTCTTGTACTCTTTGATACCTTTTTGGTATGTTTTCGTTGGTTTTGAAGGTACAAAACAACCTAAGGAATTTGGATCAAGCTTTGAATAACTCTGGAGGACCAAAGGAGGTGTTAAAGAAAGATTTTGGAGTCTACGTGTAAAAGAAGAGGTCCAATGATGGAGAAGTCAAATAGAAATAGCTATGTAATCTTAAGAAAAGCCCTTAGGAAGAAGACTCGACCTATTTGGACAAAACGGACAAGCGGCGGCCCAAGCATCACTCCCAACCGCCGATATGGGAGACATCTTAAGACAAATCCAAATTGTCTGGAGGAAAATTCCATGGACCAGGAAGCCCATCCCACAAAGAAAAAGAGCACTGGGTCCGACCGTCGCCCTACCGCCTCTAGCCATTACTCCTTGTTGAAGAAGTTTGCTTAGCCTACAAGGAGAAGGAGACTCTTTCCTAGTCGGTTTAGGAAGTTTTAGGCCGAGGTCCTCCCCTATAAATAGAACAAATGCATAAATTCTCTATAACACTTTACACGAGTGATACCTACTTAAAGTAGAAGTGTCTGCAGCTAAGGAGACGATGTCATGCTCAATGGTGGAAGGGTAGAATAGAGAGAGTCAATTTTTTTCTCTTTCCTCTGTGGAACGGGCCAACTTACCGTACACATGCGGATTTAAACGACCCCATGAGTGTCAATTTTTTTCTTTATGCCATTTTATTTCTTAGTGTTGGCAAAATCTACACATAATATAATAGCAGGTAGGAAAAAAACATTTCCCCCATTTTAAACGGGCTCCTAAATTGTTGCGGCCCACAAAAAAGAACAGGTTTTTTTAAGCTCTTATATTTCTCGGTGTTGGTAAGATATATATATGAAAAGACAAAAATAATAGTCATTTTTAATTCTAAAAAGAAAAATTTTAACAATAAACTAATGATTGGATTCTAATGGGCTAACCGCTAACCATAAAATAAAAGTGTTGAATGGGCCTGACCTATACGGGATTTGGCCATCAAGTTAAACAAATGAACATCATGGGTTTGTTATCCTAAAACAAGCTATTTTCTCTAGCATAACTTATATTATGCTATTATTTTATATCTTAGTGGCTAAAATATAATGTATATTAAAGGTATTAAATGGTTCAACCTCGACCAACCCAATTAATCCAATTTTTACCATTTCAAATATATATTATGTAATTATTTGATATCATAATGATTAAATTATAGTGTATTTTATAGGGAATCATTTGGTATTTGTTAGTAAAAAACTAAACAGAAAGATCAATTTGGTAATTTTTAACATTAAAACGATGCAAAACATTTTCAATTTTCTTTTGAATTTCTATTGTTTTGTTCCTGAATTAGTGATGTGCAAATGGCGAATTGCAGTCATCTCTTTTCTTTCACTATTTTTTTTATTTTCAAATAAAAAGTTTAAAAGTAAAGAATAATTGGAGTTTTGCATGAGTCTGTCAAACATGCTGAATTTCAAGTTTTGGCCTGTTTTGATCAAGTCTAATTTATAATCACATGGTTCCCTGATACCCGATAAAAATCTCAATCCAAACCAGTTCGACAGCTGAGTCTGTTTTTACCACCATTTTCTAGGGATACAGGAACGACAGTTCCTATCCCAAATCGTGTTGTTCGTTTTTTATTTCTTTAAATTTTATCATAGTCTGGCTAAAACCAGAAAGCACAATGACGACAAAAAGAAAGTTTTATAAAGCAAATTAATCGACCAACGGGCCGAGTAAAAGCTAGCAACGATTGTGAGATGCTCATTTCCCGAAAACCGACAGGATAGGCGATTTTTATTCGATTTTCTGGAATCTAGTTTCTATAAAACTTACTCCACAATATCACCAGTAATCATGATGTTTCACAAGATAACAAGTACTTGATAGATTTTGTTATTGTTCATACGTATAGTGCTTTTCACAGGACTTAGTAGGACACGCGTAGTATTTTGATGGATGTAAAGTTGTATTGTGCAGTCAAATAAACATTAAACCATAAAAACATATCCTACGAAAAATAGTTAATAAAGTAGCCAAGCACGAAATAGTTTGAAACAAACATCATGTGTTATCCTTGGGGGTGGGAGGGGGAGAATTTTGAAAATTACGGGTAAATGGTTCGGAGTTATATGTATTAACTGAAGGTAATGATTATTAAAATAAACATACGCGCAATATGGATCAATAGATGTATTTTGTCCAGCGGAAGATAACTAACATACAATCTTTATAGTTGTGTGTTCGATGCTAATTGTAAGCAATTTGTTGTTTCTTACCAGTTACCACACTTTTTAATGGTAAGCAATATTAATCCTTAATTTTCATGTAAATCAGCAACTTATTCATTAATTCATGTGTTAACTCAATTGATTTCATCATTCAAACTTTTACAATTAAATTTGGCAAAAAAATATTATACTTTGTCTCTTCAAGTTCTTTATTTTAAAAATTTAACGATTTTATTGAAATATAAGCAATATTTACATATTTTATTCCCTCTTAAGTTTTGATTTGATTAAATTCAATAATATTTATCATTTAGCTTTCAACTTTGTTTTGTTGATTTTTTAATTTCAAACTAGATTAATTAAATTCTTCAATTTTAAAGTTGATTTCTAATACCTTAGGTAGCACCTACTTATAAAAATCAACACATGGCACCCTTATCTAAAAAGATGCTTGGTGGACATTCTTTTAAAAAAAATAATTTATGATTCATATTAAGTGTAATATGATTTTTTGTTTGCCGTTATAATAAAATGAAAATTAGTGAATTAGTAAAAAATTAATCCAATAATTTCCTTATTAATATTGTTTTAGCCTTTTACGATACAATATTAAGAATCATCCGGCCCCCCGACAGCTAAATCGTGGCTCTGGCCCTCTCTATCTCTTGTCATCTGTAGCATAGCGTGGGTTCATTATGATATATATAGTTCAGATTAACGTAGGCCCACATCGATTTTGCTATTTAAATCGGTAATAAATTGGAGTTTGAGATATGGTACTATATCACAATCACTAATGGATCGATCCAACCCCAATCGCTGATTTTGGAAACGAGAAAATCTATTTAATGTAACATAATTAATAATAACAGACAAGTCTTATTCGTTGAAATATATGAAAGTACAACCAATAAATATAAACGCAAACATAAATCATACTTGGGGCTTAAAACTAGGATTTATAGTAGACGAAAAACAAAACAATCATCTAAAGAAAAATAGTGCATGCATGGTGGTGCTTATTATTATTATTATTAAGCTTGGATGAGGAGGAGGAGAATGATAGAAGCGATGATGACTGACTTATCTAAGAAACCATAATAATAATGATAATCTTCCGGGACATGCAGCAGCGTTGATGGGATGTTGCGAGAACCGCTGCTAGCGGAGGCTGAAGCGTTTTTATGGAGATGCAGAAGATAATCGCAATCGTTGTTGCACTGGATTTCACAGGTAAGATAGTCATTGCGACCATTGTCGGTACAGTGATACTTGCATTCGGCACAGCAGTCGCGGAACCTCTCCATATCGGACTTGTGAGAGGAGACACCCACCGCCATGATAAATAAGACGACGACTACCAAAACCATCATTCCCGCCGACTTACCGCTACCCTTCACCATGCTCGATCGCTTTTGTTTCTTCTCCACCTTCTTCCGTCTTTCTTTCTTTTGTGTGGCGCGACATCCCTCGCTCTCGCACCCATTATATAGAAAATCGAACGGTTGTTCTTGAGGAAATATTTTACGCTTTTTTTCCATTTTATGGTGCAGTTAGGAATCACAGGTATGGAATGTGACCGTCTCTCATTAATTCATGCCAACTTCCTATATAATCTTAAAGCAAGAGAGGAAAACTTCCTATTTAACGCCCAGAGAGATACAGCTTCTTTTTTCCTTCTTCCTCTTTATTCATAATAATATTATTTTTTCCGTGTTGCTTTTGTAATCGCTTTGTCCTTCTTTCTTTCGGAACGCATTAATTAGTTTGGTAACCCTAGCTAGGGGCACCGGGCTGGGTCTATAACGTGCAAACCATGACGGCGGCTATTGAATTTGATTTTACCCCCTATATATCCTATGGCCAACACTAGCGAGGGTTTGGGAGATAGGATCTGGAAAAATTAGTAAGTGCTCGTACATCTATTTTGTATAGTCCGTGAATACTCGGTATATGTATTCGTACGTATTTTATATGTTTAAAACTTACGTATTTGTATTATTGTCATACTATTTTATTTTTGTTCTTTCATTTGATGACAACCGTACTAAACACATATAAAACCCACATAAAATGTTTAATATCCGTATTTAATGAATTAAATTGTTAAATTTACTATTATTTTTTAAATAATTAATTTTATATATTTATGACTATTAACGTACTATTAAATATAACATTAGCTTAAAGATGAAGTAAAATAATCATACATATTTGGGTTAATAGCATTTTATATCCTTGTACTATTGCAAATTAACAAATTAACATGCCCCTTTAGAATTTTTATGCATAAACATGCCCTTCTATTATCGAAATATAACAAACATATCTTTCCGTCCAAAATTATATTAACTAAGGGGTCGTTTGGAGAAAATGAGAGATTTGATATCCATAGATTTTATAGATTTAAAATCTCTAAAACTAAAATCCACAATACAAAAAGCAACAAAAAAACATAACTTTCTACAAAATCTACGGATTCAATAAATCCACGCCCTAGATCCCATTCTCCAAACGACCCCTATCTGTAAAATGAAGTGGAAATTGATTATTTTGCCCTCACATATAAAAAATATTTGCTCTTTTTTCCAACAGAAGTAGAAAAAGTCATAATTTATTAACTTAATTCTGTAGCTAATAATAATTAAATTTTGAATGTATTCCTTCGGGAATCGAGGATTAGCAAGTTCCCAAATTAGTTTCTGCTTCATTCTTTACTTAATAATAATTCAGCCCACGCCGTGCATCGTCATCTTCCAACGTTGTTCCAGCTTCTCCGGCGACATCTTGATCCGGCGACACCTAGCTTCAACGTGTAAAGCTTTCAGTGTTGAGACTTTCTTAAGAAAGAAAAAGTCTCTTAAGTTTAGCTGGAAGGAAATGGGACCTCAAGAGTCGAGACTTTCTTCTTTCCTTGTTTTTTCCTGCTCTGTTTTGATTCTTTCTTCTTGCATGTCTCTGATTCCTATTCCTAGCAGCTTATCGACTCCCCCGTTACCTGCTCCGCCGGCCATCATTGTTGGAAATGTATGAATAGTCTTGAAAGCTATAGAGTCTCAAGTGGAAAAACTACCACATTGGTAGTTTTACTTGATGAAATGTGTATAAAGATAGAAGTCTCTCTCCTAAGGGCATGTTCCTTGGGGTGACCCACTTTTGTGGGAGAGGGAGGTCAGCCCTAATTAAGTAAATCCGACTTATTCCCCAAGCAAGAGGGTATATTCCTAAGAGTCCATAAATACTCGGTATATGTATCCGTACGTATTTTATATGGTTAAAACTTACGTATTTATATTATTGTTATATTATTTTATTTTTTTCTTTCATTTGATGACAACCGTACTAAACACATATAAAACCCACATAAAATGTTTAATATCCGTATTTAATGAATTAAATTGTTAAATTTACTATTATTTTTTTAAATAATTAATTTTATATATTTATGACTATTAACGTACTATTAAATATAACATTAGCTTAAAGATGAAGTAAAATAATCATACATATTTGGGTTAATAGCATTTTATATCCTTGTACTATTGCAAATTAACAAATTAACATGCCCCTTTAGAATTTTTATGCATAAACATGCCCTTCTATTATCGAAATATAACAACCGGGTTGAAGCCCGACTCGGGTTGAACCGGGTCCAACCGGGGGGTTCGATAGGGGTTTAACAACCTTGTAGTTGTGGTGCATAATTTTTCCATGCATATCCTTACATCTCAGTGTCAACTCATCATTTAATGGAAGACTTTAATATTTTTCCTCTAAATTTTTACGGATTATATCTCTTTCGTTGCAAGTCGGAGTTTTTTTTTTTGTGCACAGATAAATCACATTAATTATGTTTTCAAAATGATATCGAGTTTGATGTATTTTTTGAATAAAATTTTATGAGACATTTAATACTAGTCTATACCATGGTGGAATTATTTGGTATTACATAATAGCATATCACGTGGTATAAAGTGTATCATGGTGGTATGAACATACCAGACTGTAGAATGGTTCAATACACGATAGTAGGAATATACTAACTGTAATTTACAATTTCAACATTGTGTTAAAAAAAACACCAACCCTATAACCCTAAATTCGGGTTTTATGGGGTGGTGTTTTTTTATCGTGTATTTATCCCCTGAAATTTGTAGAATAGATCATGATGAGCTAGTTTATTCTATGCAAAAAATTCCAAAATTGACTTAAAAATGAACGAGATACCATATGGTATGGAGATGGTAACAAGTTGTATGAATATTTTTCCCGAAATATATTTGAAAATGGATCTCTTTTTGTAGAGCACAACTAACTATAGTTCCATCTGTAAAAAAATAATTGACATCCAATTAAAATGAAGAAGATAAGAGTAGATTTATAAAACTAGGAAAAATAAAATTGAATAACTATTTGCCGCCCACAATTACGCAAAAAATGTCAATTTTGCTCTTTATAAAAAATTAAAAGCCTTCTCCACTACAAGAGAAACAAGATTAATTAGCAGCTAATAGTAGAGGCAATTTTTTTCTACCTCTAAACCTCTGTGTATAACGACAATTAACTTAATTACCGCTGGATATAATTTCATTTGCCTCTAAATCACCTATTTTCCATTAAAAAATCATGCAAGTTGTTACTTTAGAGGCAAATATCTATCTGCCACAGTTAGAAGCAACTAATTTAAATACAACTATATCTAAAAGCACATAAAATAGCCTGTAAAAGTGTTAGGATTTATACAGGCAAATCCAATTGCCATAAATAATTATCCTTTGAGATTATTATAACATAAATAGGCTAAATTACACGTTTGGTCATCCAAATTATACAAATCTTTCAGACTTGCCACCCGAATTACTTTTCTTTCTTATTCGCCACTAACTTTACGAATCGTTTCACCTTTAGTCACTGGCCGTTACAATCCGTTAGATTTGTCCTACGTGGCAGTCAACTATAAAGTTTGACTGTTAATTAGATGACGTGGAAATTAAAAAATTTTAAAAAAATTCCACCTGATCATTCCACGATGAGGAGGGAGTCGGGGAGGCAGTGGAAGTGGTCGATCCCAGCGGTGAGGGTGACGGAGCAACATGATTAGTCGGGCTCCGGTGTTACGATGATGTGACGTAGGGGGATGGCGAATTTAGGGTTTTCTCGTAAAAGGAATAAAACGCAAAGAACTCTCAAAGAAAATAACTAATGAAATAGCAAATAAAGAACAAAAGCTAACTATTGGGTTCCAATCTTCTCATCTTTAAACGAACGACCAAAGTACATATTTATAAGCATAGAAGTCTCTACCTTTTCCTATCTAGAACTTGACTTCTACTCCTACACTGAAACAACTAACAATGACCAAAACTGACTTGAACAAGAAAACCACTAATTAAGGCAATAATAATTAAGACTCAATAATATCCAAATACGAACTAATAATAAAATACTAAAGATACGCAAGCCCAGTAATTAATGAAATGCTACGATGGCTCGATCTCGTAACATCCGGGTCATCACCGTTTCTTTCTCCGCCTTCCACTCCACAAACCCAAATCTCTGACCCCCATGATCCATCCATCCATGTCTTTCTCCACCTGCCCCTTGCCACATTAAATCAACTAATCTCACCTTCGTTCTCCCTCTAGGGTGGGTGGAGAGAGGGGAGGGCGGGTGGGGGGAGGGGATGAGGTGGGCGGAGGTGGGGGGAGGGGTGATGTCGTCATCTAGGGTGGGTGGAGAGAGGGGAGGGGAGCGGCGGAGGTGGGCGGACGCCGTCGTCTAGGGTTGGTCTGGAGGGATGGTAGATTAGGGTTTGAGTAGAATATATAGAATAATCAGGTGTGGACTCTTTTTTGTTTCCAAAATTACCCTAAAACAAAATTAGCCATGAGATTAAAAAAAGAGGAAAACAAGAAAAATGAACGGCAGATAGTGATGTAGCCATGGTAGCTACTAAAATTTTAGTTGCCACCCTAACTCATCCCGATTTCTTGTTGTTCTTCCAATAGGCCTCCACAAGGTGGCGAGTATACATCAATTACTCTCATCTTGCCAAGCAATTCCAACAATGTGAATATGCTAACTCCTTTAGTGAAAATGTCAGCTACCTAGTTTGAAGTATGAAGGTAGAACATCTTGATTAGACCACGCTTGATCCTCTTCCTGGTCACATGCATGTCGATTTCGATGTGCTTTGTTCTCTTGTGGAAAACATGGTTCTCAACTATATGAATGACTAATCTATTGTCACAATACACATGAGTAATAGGAGTTGCAACTGGAACTTCCAATTATCATAGAAGCTCCTTCAACCGTTGCTCTTCACAACCCAGATAGTCCAATGCACGACATTTTGCTTCCGATGAGTATACGAAAACTCTTGTGTGTTTTTTAAAAAATTTCGTGTAAGGAGATAATCCCCTAAATAGGTGACAAAATATATAATATATCCTCATGTATCAAGGCAAGCTTCCCAATAAGAATCACTATATCTAGTGATAGAAAAATTAGATTGCCTTATAAACATAATTCCTTGACATGGTGACCTTTTGAGATATCTTAGAACTCTATATGGTGCCTAAATGTGTGTCAAGTGGATTACCTTGTAACTGGCTCAGTTGTTCTACAGTGAAGCATATGTATGGTCTAGAAATGGTGAGATAATGCAGTAGTCTGCGCATAAGCCTTTTGTTGCAACCTGGATTCTCCAAACGAGTCCCTTCTCTGGAATTAAGTTTCACTTTCATGTCAATTGGTGAGTGAGTTTCTTTGGAATCTACATAACTTGTGTCTTCAATTAACTCAGAACAATAATTTTGTTGATTAACAACTATTCCATCTCCATTTCTTAAAATTTCAAGTCCTAGAAAATACTTCAAGGTACCTATATCCTTGGTCTTAAAAGTCTTCTTCAAATATAACTTCATATGACTTTAGGTCATCAAGTCCTTATCATGCAACAATTATGTCATCTACATAAATAAGTAGTATGACACTCCTTTCTTGTACCTTTTTAGCAAATATGGAATAGTCTGATGTAGATTGTGAATCCATTTTTTAGCAATGAACAAGTCAGTTTGGCAAACCATTGTCTGCTGTTCTATTTCAGTCCATATAATAACGACTTTCTAAGTCTACAAACATTCCTTGCATTTCCCGGAAGACTAGGTGGTGGTTGCATGTATGCATCTTCATCCAAATCTCTACATAGAAAGAAATTTGAAACATCCACCTGATGCAAAATCCAGTTCTTTGATGCTGCTACTGCTAAGAGTGTCTTAACACTACTTATCTTTGTTGATGCTAAAAATGTATCTAGAAAATTAATGTCATAGATTTGTGTGAAACCTTTGACTTCCAGTCTTGCTTTATGCCTTTCAATTGAACAATCAGGTCTCAGCTTAGTTTTTAACACCCATTTGGATCATATGTGAAGGAGGGTGTTGGTTGTTGGAATGGAATAGCATTGATTAATTTTTTTACAAAGTTGTCCTGGAATCAATTTAGACCTAAATCAATTGAGGCACGTACATTGATACGACTTGCTTTAGAAAGGTCCTATTACTACTTGTGACAAGCTGACCAGCTAGGGCTATCAGCTAGGTCCTATTACTACTTCTGAGTACAACATATATAAAGATCTTTATATTGGACTATTTTTCAAGTTCACCTGCATAAGCTCTTCTAATGGCTGGATGACTAAAACTCTAATGGGTTGTATCCTCTTTTTCTGGCTTAGCTCTTCACTCGAAGGCACGAAGGATTATCTTACAAGCTCTTATCAGTTGTACCCTGAGAGATAGCATCTAGGAAGGGTCGACTAATTCAATGTGTGTGGTGAGACAAACAAAACAAGATCCGGTAGTTCTGTCTAATAGTGATTATGTTGAAATTTCTTATAATTGAACTTGTCTCTAGGCTTTTTTTCTTGGCTCCAAAGTTTTTGTGATTTGTTAGCAAGTCCTATTCTAGTTAATTTCTCTTAGGGGCAAGGGGTGTTGCAATAAGTAACCTTTACTTTTGATGATGTAGAAGTAATAACAACCATTCATAAAAAAACAAATAAATAAATTACGATTGCAGTCACACGCATAAATGGGAGCGGATAACATGACAATGAATAACCCTAAATTTATCACTTATGGAAGGTGACTAAATTTCCCTTAATTAATTTTAACGAGTTGTATCCAGGGTTCAAGAAGGCGCGCCTAGGCGCACGCCTAGGCTCAACTAGGCGCTAGGCGGTGGAGGATCGCCTTGACTTGGTCATAGGCGTTGTAAAAGGCGCTGGTAGCGCTTAGTAGGTAGGAATAGTGCTTAGTTTGCGCCTAGTGGAGAGAAGGCGTGCCTGGGCGTTCTGGGCGAGCTTAAGCGGTTAAACCCAATACTCTTCGTTTTGTCCTAGAAAATCAGAAACTTGCCTCTTGCCCTAGAAAATCAGAAACACAGGAAGTAACATCTGCTGCCGCCTGCCGCCCTAGCTGTCGCCCCATCTGCTACCGCCTGCCGCCCTAGCTCTCGCTCCATTTGCTGCTCTCTGCCACCGCAGGAGAAAGTCATCGATCACTCTTCTCGCCTTCACACCGCTCCGCTGCTATAGTGGGAAATAAAGTCGAAACTCGTCAATTGCTGCTCCTTCCTTCTCCTCGGTACGTAGCACAAGCTTCTTGCCTCTATAAGCACCTATTAGCAGATGATTGGTCACTATTTACTTGTTATTTGTTATGTTAAGTGTTTACGGTTAAGAACTAGGCATTGCTAATTTTATATGCACTTGGATTATATGAATTATTCCAGAAAACAATAAATATTAGAGAATTTTTCCATTTATGCTCTGAACGCCTAGGCGCGCCTAGGCTACGCCTAATCGGGCAAGGCGCAAGTCAGGAGCCGAGCGCCTGCCTTACGCCTAGCGCCTTTTAGAACCTTGGTTGTATCACTTTCGTTTTAAGTCGTAATTTATATTTGCACATTTAAATCAAATGAATTGTGCTTTTTAAAATGACATCCACTTGACATATTTTTAAACAAAAAACTTGAGACATTTATTACCAGTACATATCATGTGGTATTGCTTGGTAGTACATAAGATTATACCACGTGGTATGAAAGTGTATTATGGTGTTATGTACATAGCAAAGTGTAGAATGGTTGCATACATGATAGCATGAATATACTTACCATATATCATTAATGTATCCCCAGATACCACCCTATATATATTTGGTTCTTTTTTCCCCAAATATTTGAGATCCCACAGATCGAGAATTTTTTTTTTACATAAGATAATCATATTCGTTGATTAGAAAAAATAGATCATTACATCCTGGAAACGGGGCAAACCTGAAAGTCAAAGAAGCGACATGTAGACGGGTACAAAGAAATGGCATTTTTAGCCACCAAATGAGCTACCCTATTTATACTCATACCTAAAAATCGCACATTAAGCCCAATGTGAATTGCCAAGCAGCGTATCACCTCTTCAAGAACATCTCATATCCAATTATCGCGAGTCTCAGCTTGAATGATCTTACCAATGACAATCTTGACGTCTCCCTCAAATATTGTCTTTGCGAACTCATGCTCCAAACACCAGATCATGGATTCACCAAGGACGAGCAGCTTGACCACCAAACGATCGTCAATAATGGCAAGCTGCAACCCCCTCGCCAAAAGAATCTCCCCTTCGTGATTCAAAAGAACTATTCCTCTAGCCGAGTGAGACCCAAGTTTGGTAGTTCCATCACACCTACAGATCAACGAATTATGTGACCCAGGGATCAGGTCTAGAGCTTGGGGGCACCCCTGGTGCTGAACACCATCAACTGACAAATTGGTCCACTCTTGATATTGCTGGGTAAATTGCCGCATCAAAGCCGCAAACCCAAATTGCTTCCCCTCGAAGACTACCCGATTTCGGGAGTGCCAGATCCGCCAGAGGATGACCACAACAGCCATAAACAAAGGAGGCTGATGGATAATTAACATCAACTTTTTAAGAAAGAGAGGAAACGTGTGGCAACCAGGGCCTGACCAAGATATTCAAGGCCAGAGATATCACATAAAGTCCGTGCCACTAGGCACTCAAAAAATAAATGCTCCATCTTTTCCGACTCCTCCCAACACACCGTACATCTGCGATCCTCTCGGACTTTATTCTCTAAAAGGGCTTCCAGCGTGGGAAGGATCCGATGGAAGATTTTCCATAAGAACATCTTAAGTTTGGGTTGGACGTTGGTTTTCCACAAGCACATCCAACTAGTCATGTCCATCCAACTGGCCGAAGATCACCACCTCTCCTCCTACTTATCCAGAAAAACTACAAGATGGTAGACTTAACAGTGAAAATTCCATCACAAGGGTCATGCCAGATCAATCTATCCTCCACATCTTGACGAGGAAGTGGAATAGATTTGATTGTCCAAATCACAAATAGGAGGGGTGAAAGAGGGCACCTTGACAGAGGCCACGAGAAAGTGCGAAGAACCCCGAGGGTGTGCCATTCATAAGGACCTAGAACGAAGTTATACTAAGACATTCCTGGATCCAGCCTCGTTAGGTTGAGTTAAAACCCAACTTATCTAAAATCGCCTGGTTGAGTTAAAACCCGACTCTATCATAGGCCTTTTCCATATCAACCTTCATAGCCATGTAACATTTCTTACCCGTAGTTTTGATTTTTAGATAGTGCATTAACCCATGCCCAAGTAAGACATTCTCCACGATTTGTCGTTCACGGATAAAAGGATTTTGTTCTTCAGAAATAATTTGCGATAAGAGCTGGGCTAGTCTCTCAGAAAGAATTTTAGCGATAATCTTATACACAAACTGGCACAAGTTTATCGATCTGATTTGCCTCATGCTCCCCACATTATCTACTTTTGGGATCAAAGTCGGCCAAGGGTGATTAAAACTCTTAAGAAGCTTGCTCTAACTAAAGAAATAGCCAACACCTGCTATCACAGAGTCCCCTGCTATATTCCAATAGGACTTGAAAATTTTTCCAATAAACCCATCAGACCCTGGCACCTGCTTTGAGCCTATGGAAAACACCATTCGACGACTTTCCGCCGGGAGGACCTAGGCAATGAGATTATTCATCATCTCCTCAGTTACCTTGCTATAAATCGGGAGGTTTGCAATCCTATCCCCCATGTTCAGAACTTGGTTTTCTGAGGTAAAGAGATATTGATAAAATTGAGTGGCAATATCAGCCTTGATCTTTTCCTCTTGTCAGCCATTCACTAGAGTCATTATGAAGCCCTGATATAAATTTATGCTTTCAACGGGCATGCGTGACTATATGAAAGTAAGAGGTGTTCTTGTCGCCTTTTTTAAGCCAGTGGACCCTAGAGTTTTGCTGCCAATAGACTTCTTCTGCTTCCCATTGCAGCTCAGCTCAGCCTCTAATATTCAGATCTCATCCCAGTTAATCAGGTGGACTAACTTCACTTGACCGATTTCCAATTGGAGAGTCCTAATATTACGAAGAGAGTTAGTCGTACCAACGCAACTCCAATCATATAGCAAATGACGGAGTCTTTTTACCTTTCCCACAACTGGTACATAGGAGTATCTTCCTTCCAAACATATGTCACTATAGTCTTGACTTCCGGATTATCAGTCCACCGAGCATTAAATTGGAAAAGGGGGATGCTATAACGCACATAGGGTTTATCTGACACAAGCAAAGCTCTGTGATAAGACCCTTGATCTGAAAAGTGCTTGAAAAGGGTATCCGGGTAACGATCAATCCGGGACTGAGAATAGAGCTCTCTATCAAGTCTTTCGCGGATATAAGCTGATCCCGTTCGTTTGTATGTCCAAGTGAATTGATCACCTTGGTAACCAGGATAATGAAGTTCAAGGTTCTGAATGAAATTACGGAGATCCATCGACTGGGCCATATTCCAAGGATTTCCCCATCCTTTTCACTTTCACTCAACGTAGAATTGAAACCACCTATTACCACTAGGGCTGGGATACGGTGCGGTATGGTCCAGACCAGACCATATATACGATCTATGGTCCAGACTGAGAGGATGAAGTATAGACCACAGACCAGACCACAGACTATACGGTCCGGTCCAGACCACGCCTGTGCGGTCTGGTTTGGTTTGGTCTGGTCCAGATAGACCATACTCAACGAAAAATGAACAATTTGTTCAGTCAACCGCACAAAAAATTGAACCAATAATCAAGAAAAATATTTTTTATTTGCCTTAAAACATTAATCCTAACATGCATGAATAAATTTGATACCCTAAATCTTAGTACATAACAAAGAAATCAAGTAAAAGCATCCCAACTTGCACCATAATGTTATAAACATTAACATAATGTCATATGGAGACACGATTATCTCTACTCTCTGGTTAAGTGTGGTTGTGAATGAAGGAGGGACGAGATTCACAAAATTAAGGTTGAGACTTGGGTGTCGTTGTGTGAGTTGGGAGAGTGGTCGAATGAGCTGTTAACACGTATTGACAAGTCGGTTGGGTCCACGGTTTGGTCCGGTAAACCGCGATCAGACTAGACCAGACCAAGAAATCAAAACATAAAATAACACAGACCGGACCGGACCATACTTAACGGTCTACGGCCCGGACCAAACTGTGCGGTACGGTTTGGACCGTGATTTTTCTAATGGTCTGGTCTATTTTCCCAGCCCAAATTACCACTATGGTAATTGGATTTCTTAACAAATATTTCTTAAAATGCGCCAACTGAACTGCTTGAACAGATTCGGTACAACTAATGTAAACATAAACCACAAAATAAGAAAAGTTCATTTCATTAATCCGAATGCAATTCGAAAAATTAGAATGATAAAACACTGAAGCATCAACTCTAGGGGACCAACCAACCACTACACTCGTTCTTTCCAGACAAAATTTCAAAATTTGAGTTAAAAATGAAGGTGATATCAAATGATACCAGGTGGTAGCAGGGTGGTAAAGAGAGGTATGGGTCATACGTAAAAAAATTTGCTCGAAATATATTAAAAAATTTATATAATTTTGTAGATCACAACAAACTCATTCAAATTAGATTATGTACATTAGATTATTGATCCTAAGTTAGACCTGAATAAACTTTTTGGCTATCATAGTAGGTAGAACTAATTAAAAATTTGTAAGCCAAAAATGAAACCTTGGTTGCATAGGTAAATTAAGTATAAAGAATTTTCAAGGGTAAATAGAATATATTAGCCACAAATATTAAGCAGCGGAAAATTATAGCCACAACTATAAAATATTAATTATCAGTCATAACTATTGTTGCGCGTAAATAGATGGCTAACATTCCGTTACTAACTTTGTAACGGAAAAAGCCACGTCAGCAGCCACATCAGCTTCCACATTAGATTAATTTTTATTTGTAATTTTCAAACATAAAAAAACCAAAAAAAATTAAAATGAAGGGTCAAACCCTACTTTCCCCTTATCTTCTTCTTCCCCAGCCACAACACCTTTCGACCCGATTCTTGCGCTTACCTCCTCTTTTCTTTTTCTTCTTCTTCTTCTTCTTCTTCTTCTTCTTCTTCTTCTTCTTCTTCCCTCCGACCATCATTTGCCTCCACCAAATTCCTCTCCACCAACGTTGCTGCTTCTGAGACTACTGAGAAGGCGCAGAACGCGCGACACTAGAGGCTGCTGCCAGACAGGATCCCGGTGGTTTCCAGCCGAATCCGAGCGTGTACCCATTCGGAAAATCTGTCGGATCTAGGCAGAGGAGATCCCTCTTCTTCTTCCTCCGCCCAAATCTGCCAGCGTCATGCCGCTCCCTCCGCCTCCATCCAGGCACCTAGCTGCTCTCACTCGATCTTCTACTCTATCTCCCCCTCTCTTTTCTTTTGGAAACCAACAAAAAGAAGGAACAAAATTGAGAGACAGCGGCGTCAATCTACGACAGCAAAGGCGACAACGATGGTGCCGGAGGTTGAAGTTGAGTTTTGTATCCAGTTGCATGTTGATGTTTAGGGGGGGAGGGGGGGTTCAAGGATTTAGTTGGGTTTATTACCTAATTCTCCCTTGGTGTTTTCCTGGACTTGGAGTGGGGTCCGATCGAGGGGAAAGAGGGAGGGAGGATTCGTCGACTCCAATAAGCGTCACCAACAACAGAGGTGGTGGTGGCGTGACTTTTTCTGGTCGGAGGTAGAAGAAGAAGAAGAAGAGGGGTGAAGAAGAAACATCGGATGTTTTTTTAAAATAATTAATTAATAAATAAGTTGATATGGTTGACCGTCTAATGTGGCATTTTTTGTTCACTACCACATCAGAATGTTTGTTTCACGTCAGCATAACATCTACCAACTCACCATCATCTAACAGAATTGGAAATTGAGAGTTAATGTTTGACTAATAATTTGTATTTCGATAGTTGTGGTTATAATTCCTCGTTGTTTAATAGTTGTGGCTAATATATTGTATTTACCCAATTTTCAAGGATGGATTGAATACATATCATGGCTAACCGACCTTATGATCAAGACTCCGACCAATTTTCATTATATTTATAAATACTTTTGATTGAGAATATATGGGGGAAGGCCATGACAGTTGCTAGAGTAGCTGAACTACTAAATAAAGACCCCGACATTGTCTTCTTAATGGAGACAAAAAAGAAAGAACGTGAAATCGAAGAGCTGATTGATGATTTGGGTTGGAAAAAAAGGTAGGGAGTGGGATCCTGCAATAGGGCAGGAGGCTTGTTGTTACTTTGGAAGGAAGAGGTCAAGGTGAGCATCAAGGATTGTAGCTCAAACTACATCGATGCTTGGATTTACAAAGATGGAACACAAGAACCATGATGAATTACTGGTGTTTATGGTTGGCCAGAGGGGGATCAGAAATTTCAAACTTGGGAAATGCTTAAACGACTAAGTGAACATGAGAACATGGCATGGCTGCTTTGTGGAGATTTTAACTAGGTACTTGGATACGAAGAGAAAAATTGAATCAACCCGCCAGATACCGGAAACATGGAAGAATTCCAAAGCACCTTTGATGAATGCCATCTTGAAGACCTAGGGGCTAGGGTACTTTGGGTATCCTTTCACATGGGACAATGGGAGGGTGGAGGAAGATTTTCTAGAAGAGAGATTAGATAGAATGGTGGCGAATGAAAGATGGAAAGATAAGTTTCTCGAGGCGAGAGTTTATCACCTAGAGAGATGGACATATGATCATCTACTGATTCTGCTAGAACTTAACTTGCAAGAAGAGAAAATACGTTTGGGTTGGCACTTCAAATTTGAGCCCTACTGGCAGAAACATGAAGACTGCACAACAGTTATAGCTGAAGTCTGGGGAAAAGACCCTAACAGATCACTGGAAGAAAGGATTAAAGAGTGTGAGAAGAGATTGATCGAATGGAGCAGAAACACATTTGGTAACCTCAGGAAAAGAAGAAGAAAGATTTAATGAGCAGGGAGAAGAAAAGAAGGCTTAGAGGCAGGACACCGAGGTAGAGGTAGAGTCTTAGGCTGTTGATCTATATCCTGTGCTCTAGCAGTAATCGCCAAGCAGAAAAAGAATAAGGTTGTGTTACTGCAAAGGAGAGCCTTGGAGAAAGAACCGAATGAGGTACTTCATCTAGAAGAGATGAGGTGGAAACAAAAATCGCGAGTTGACTGGCTCAAGGAAGGAGATAAAATCACAGTTTTTCCACAGGAATGCGAGTAAGAGGCTGGAGGTTCTGGGGTCGAACCGGGAACCGAGAGGCTCATATTATGGCCCAAACCACTTGTAATTGGGAAGAATCAGAGGTTTGGTTTACAAGACCCCTATTATCTTGGTTGATGTGTTAAGCCAAGAATGTAATGGACCGTTGAACCATCTTTAATAATATTAAAGATTGAGTTGTAAAAAAAAAAAGAATAAATGGGGGACTGAAGGTTTTATCAAATATCAATCCAGAATTATTCTAACAAGTTTTTGTTAGCATGTCTTTGGTCGTTTTGAATTCATGGATACGGTTTGGTCATCTCTCTTTTAAGTTTCAACGGATAACTCCACAAAAGGCGAAAAAAGTGCCGATAAATCTGGCAGAGATCATCACTACTGTTATCTTATCAGTTTTATTTCTCCCTCTGCATCCTCCAAAAAGCAAAGAAGAGACAGTAGAGAACGAAAGATCTAATTAATCGAAATGCTGCTGCAAATTGCTAATCACTATACACATAAAAAAACGAATTACGGTAACAAAGAGATTGATTACATTACTTAATCAGCAACACTCCCCAATCCCCATCACCAGACGCAAATTACATTAATCGACGCGAAACCCTAAAACCGGAAAAAATAGAAATTGTAGGGAAGGAACAATCAGAATCTGAAGAGAGAAAACTACTTTCGCAGAGGAAGCGCGCGGTGGAGGCGGTGGAACTCTGCGGAACTTAGAAAGGAGGCGGAGCGTGAAAGCCCTTCAAGAAGGGGCGACTGTGGAAAGCGGCGGCGTCGGAGACGTGAACGGTGTCCTTCAACTTGTGGAAGCCATCTTTGAAGACCCCGAAGCCGAATAGCATTCCGATCAAGACCACCACCAGGATCAAGCAAGTGCAGAGCATGCACATCCTCCCCCCGCAGCACATCCTTCCTTTCTCCTCTCGCTCGCCGGGCCTTGGATTCTCGGAGCTCCGAATCGGATCTCTTTCTCTCTGTGTGTTTCTGTTCGAGATCTAGGCACAAGGGCTCTCGCAATTAATCGCTCTCTCGTTCGCTCGGTCGCTCGCCAATCGCTGTCTGTGAATATGAATTTCAATTCCAGGACGTTACGAGGGCAGCGCGGAAGGGCGAAAGAAAGGGAATCCTCTCGCGGCTCTTAAAAGCAACGCAATAAAGATGGACAACGATATACAATAACCCATCTAAAACTGAAAAGCAGGTATTTATAAATAAATTTTCCTTCTTATTTCCTTTTCCGCATCTAAATCTGATTCCCGTTGCAGGAAATTGAGTAGGAAAAGGAATTGGGTTTTTCTTAATCCCGACTCATCCGTCATTCTCGTTGGCTCAAGGAAAACTTATTTGATTTTGGCAGATTAACAAGGTGAAAACTGCAGACTGCCACTATGGAAACTGTTTAGTAGAATTGAAAAGGGTGCTCCAAAATGGAGTGATACAGGTACAGAACAAGAACAAAAGCAGCCCACCCAAGCAACATAGATGAGTTGCTAGCCTTGATGGAAGACCTAGTAGTGTCTGATTTATATGACATTCAGATTTGCGCAGCACATACAGACTTCCTTGTTATTCAGGTTTGACATTTTGGATACATTTTAGTTTGATCTTTGATGATGGGGATTCTTGAAGTAGGATTCATGTCTCAGTTACAGTTAAGAGGCTGCAAATGTTGGGTCAAAAGCATATCTCTGCACCTGTTGCTTGTTTAGTGATTGTGAGATGATCCCAATCAATATGATTGTGGAGCAGCTCGTGGGAATAGTCACTGGGACATCTCTCTTTGTTTGTCCATCGGCAATCGGCCATTGCTGCTGAATCTGCCTTAGCTAGCTGGTGCTTATTATTGATCACACTGGGTTGCAGCGTATAGGTAGTCGGATCATCATTAGGGAGCACTGATGCATGTTGTGGGCAGTGTTGGATGCTAGTAGCAGCGACAGGAAATACGCGATGAAGCGTCCAAGTTCAGCATAGATGGTTCAACCTGGAGTGTTCAGTGGAAAGAGGGCAAAGAAGCAGAGTCTAGAATTGAATTGTTGACTTGCCTTGAAGGTAAATTGTTTCTATAGGAACCGTCTTTGGCTTTGTAATTTGCTTTCTTTGCCATCCAGAGTTCATAACATCCATTTGTGTATTGGTAATGCACATAAGAAAATTTTGTGCTAGCTATACCTACCTAGGATACTGCAGCAAAGTCTCTTATCTTCCTGTACCATTTTTTTTTTTTTTGCAATAGAAACTCGTCTTTGAATTGCGTAAAGTGACTTGTTCTTCTATCGGCTGTGTAGATCTGTTAACAAGTTGCAGTGGTGGCAGATTATTGACCGCTTTGAATCAGTGACTCCCAAAATCTGATACTAGTTGCGTGCTCTTGTACAGTATGGAGCTAGTAGTAGTTTGAAACCGGTAGGATCTATAGATGAGCATAGCCATAGGTGGGAGGTCGAAGTGGAAGCAGAGCAATCGTGACAGCAGAGTAATCTTTCTGCTGTGACCGTTTTTGCTTCTTATCATTAGAAGAATTCATCCATTCATTCATTCATAAACAATCGTTTACCGTAACAATAATCATGTTCCAAGTAACCTAGATCAGATGATGATGAAGAATATATAGATGTGACTATCTTCATCTGTATGTTTCAATCACTGCCTCTGCTGGATTACAAGCCATTAACCGTAATCTGAGAAAATCTAAAACAACAGTGTATCAACAAAATAAGTTTTTAGCGATGAGATCAGGCACAAGCGCAGGTATTATTATCTACGAGAAGGATCTCCGGCTCCTGGTTGTCTCCACTCCTGAAGAGGAGATAACCGAGCGACAGGCCGAGAACGATGGCGAGGAAGACGCCGCCGTTGAAAGACATGATGGCCAGCATCAGCAAGTACCCCATCGCCGAGTTCACCCCAAACAAGATCGCTCCGGCGAGGCGAGTCGGACCCGTGGCGGGCTTGGGGAGCAGGAGAGGAGCGTTGACCGGGGACGGCGAGGAAGAAGAACTGGTGGAGGCCTTGAGCCGGATGCGGCGATCTTCCATGTACTGGTAAAAGGCGGCGAAGAGGAAACAGGCTAGTAAAGTGAGGAGGTAAGAGAGCAAGGAGTCGGTTTTCCAGGAGTCGAGGAGAAGCGTGACTTGGATCCCCCAATACAGCGTCATGTGCATCATCTTTGATGAGATTCAACTGACCGCAAAAAACGCCGACGGAGGTCGATTGGAGAAGACGGTGGGTGGCCCGGCCGGCGTTTTTTGGGTCGGAATCGTTAATTTCTGAAAGCAGAGCTTCGGGAAATAATGCAGTGACAACAGCACCGAGGAGAGGATTGCAATGATCGATTGGCGGATGGGTGGTTATTAATTATCACTGCACTGCGAGGGTGGCGTAGAGATTACTTGCGTTGCGTGGTCCCAACAAGATGCCAATTCCTTCGACAACCTGTTGGATCCAAATACAATATTGGCTTAGCGTTTCCACCCAAAACGAATTCTGGGACCAAAGGCATGGAAGGAGTCAGCAGCCTATCCAATCGCTCTCAAATATTATTCCCTGGCCACTAGGGAGAAGGGAGTAGAGATGGTAACAAAAACCCGAACCTACTGGTACCCTATCCTATCCAACCAGGTTAATGCTGGTAACATCCTTCAATCTGCAGCCACTTAAAAGAAGGGTTCAAATTTGATTACTCACTAAAGTTATGCACCCTATTTTGAGCCTTGGTAATTAGTTGCATCAGTTAATAATTAAAAAAAAAAATCAATTCAAAAGTGGGAAAAGGAAGAAAGAGAGGCCTTGCCATAATAGTCTCCTCTTCCACGATGGGGTAATGCTGTGTCCCCTCGCCACTTAACCAGATTCTGAAACAAGGGTGACGTCGATCTGTGCAAGGGGATTGGCACCGAGATTAGGAATCGAAGACAGTAGTTCATGATCTTTGGGTTATTGCAATGAAAAGTGGTTAGTTCATAGTTCAAGAAAAATGTGAAGTTATATATTAGAATGATTCTGTAAAGCTAAGAACTTGCTCCTGCTAATGATACTTCTATGCGAATGTGCATAAGCATAGGATGCAAATCAAATGTTCATCTATGACTGTTATACTTGATTCCTTTGTGATATCAACTTTTATTCTTGAAATGTGAGGCTCAGTTGCTCTCAAACAACAGTTACATTAGAAACTGTTGAGAACTGGTTGATTATATCATTCACTCACATCCTTAATTAATTTCACTACAAATTGTTGATTAAAGAGGTTGCTGCATGTTGTGAAGGCATATGTTTGTAGTTGTTGTGTTGGCATAGAAGATAGTTGATTTACTAGAGAATGCTAAGTTTGGAGGGATACAATAAATTTGAATGTCAGACAGACTTGTATAAAAAAAAATGAGGATTTTGAGCTTGAAGGATCTCCTTGGCTCTGTAGTCGTTACCTATTCATTCTGGACGCTTAGGGCCCGTTTAGTATAGTTTTGTTGTTGTTGTGGTTGTAGTATGGTTGTGTAACACAAGAGAAACCACAACAATATAAAAATAGAAAACAAAAACATGTTTAGTTGGTAATTATGACATATCATAGAAATCGACAACAAAAAAGAGAAACACGTTTAGTTCTTTGTAACGAAAAATCATAAGAACATTTCTCAATATACAGCAAAGGAAACATGGATTGAGCTGCAGGGGAGGCCCGGCGGCGGCGAGGCTGTTGAGTAGGGGAGGCCCGGTCGGCGGCCGTTGAACAGGGGAGGGGAGGTCGCTGCGGCGACTGTTGAGCAGGGGAGGCGCGGAGGCGGAGGGTCGGAGGGCGGAGGCGGCCGGTCGGGAGGCGCGGAGGCGGAGGCTCGGGAGGGCAGGTTTGTGGCTGGAGTGGGGAGAAGGCGCCGGCGTGTATGGCTGGAGGGGAGAGCGGCGCCTGTGTTCGAGACAAAATGGAGAGGTGGGGGTGGCTGAAGTAAGTAGGGTTTGTGGGTGGTGTTAAAATAAAAAAAATTTTGCTTTTGTGGGGATTCGAAAACTTGCCCGTTTTAATGAAATCAAGCGTCCAACCAGTAAGAATCCCGTGTGCAACATGTTTAAGAATCAAATCCAAAGCTATAAATTGTTATTTCTCATATTTGGGCCTTGTTGTGCAACTCTGATTCACAACAACAAATAAAAACCCAACTAAACACGATTTTTTTTCTTGGTTTTCCAAATTTCTTAAAACACAACAGGAAACAAAAACAAGCAACAATACTAAACGGGACCTTAGTTAAACTCATTTTTCCTTAGTTATTTTGATTTTCAAGGGCTTTGGTGCTATGTTTGCTGCCTACAGTTAGGGGTCATCTGAATGGGTGTTTTGGATGAGTTATTTTGGCCCAAAGAACTCAAAATGAGTTATTTAGGCTAAAATAATGGGTTATTGAACATGAATATTTGTGATGATTGATTGAGATATTGAACTTTGAGCCTAATCCACCGTTCAAATTTTTATTTGAGGGCTCCAAGCACATTTGTGGTCTCTAGTTGCATGAGCCTAGTGGTTATGTTCAAACATAAATTCTGAATTTTGTGAACCACCGACATTGTAGTAGGGTTGTGTCATGTGTCACTTCGTATATGATGGCAAACTTGTATGAGAATTTGTCTGGTCACGGTTGTCTAGGCATAGAGAAAGAGAAATCTACATGAGAAACATAACATATAGTTAGCCATTTAGATTTGCGTTTATTCGTTTTCTTTATGTACATAGTCTGACCCGTCATTAAATGTCTAGGCCCATCATTACCTATTTCATAACCATGCCCACCCACCATTCCCATTAATCCATCTCCATCTCCATCTCCATCTCCTACGCCCACCTTGGGCCCAACTTAACACTACCCCTCCCCTCTCCACCCGGCCCATTTTCCACAACCCATTCAGAGCCCAATCCTTCATCAAACCATCTCCCCAAATCCACCAGCCACCATCCAACAACATGGCGACAACCACAAACACAATCACCCTTTAAGCATTTAGTAGATTTGTGTTCGGTCGAACTTAAATCCGATAGACAGAGTGCTAGAATTCATAGCTCTTTCTGATTAGCATAACCTAAAACGATTTTTATTATATCTTCATCATGCTAAAACTTTGGTTTGGTCTGGTCATTTGACTAAATTTGAATAGCATACCCACCCTCACCTCCATACCTCCTAATCCCACATAAAGTGAGACACCCCTTTTATCAGTAGACCCCCTGTTATTTGTTACAAGTTTCTACTACTGGACCAAAAATATCAACTTCGTCGATAAGGTTTCTGTTAGTGAGTGGTATATGATTCACGATTAAACTTCCTCCAACAACTCGAGTTATTGGGATAAATAGGTTCTTGACATGGTATCAGAGCCTTCTGTGACCGATAGGTCTTCTGTTCGAATCCCGGTGACCTCATTTGTGAAACACATTTATTCTTGTATTCAGGACATGTGCAAACGAAAGCTCTTATGAGTTGATTGACTTTCGTTTGAGGGGTGTATTAGTGAGTGATATATGATACACGATTGAACCTCTTCCAACAACTCGAGTTATTGGAAGGAAGTGGTTCTTGACGGTTTCAGAATTATGTAAGACAATGTCAAGCATTTCAATTATTTTTACTGCGAAAGTAATACAAGATCACTAGAATTAGAAGATTCAAACAAGGAAGAAATCCATGATAGTACTGTGACACAGTCCTCGGGATAGTATATATCATAATATCCAAAACTCATAGTATCTTTGGCAAGTCAAATGCTTTTAGTTTGCTTTGAGAACATCATAAAATGACGTTGGCTTCTTCAAGGAAGCCGCAGATAGTTCCTGCAGGCGCAGCCAAAACACACAAATTATCTAAAAATAGCAACATATTTTTATTTTAGTATGATGAACCAAACCAACAACATCTTTTGTTGGCACTTTGAAACAAAAACACATTTAAATCCTTCATTTCCTTTTTGGCCTTTTCATTCAATAGTACCTGGATCGCAAAAGCTAGCCTGAGAATTGTGGCTTCTCCCCATGGGCGGCCGATTAGCTGCAAGCCAATGGGAAGCCCTTGCTTGTCGTAACCAATCTGCAAACAAATTTATTAATAACGTAAATTCACTGTTACTTCTCCATTTACCATTTTCGCTAACAAAAATGGAGGATTTGATGTTTTTTTTCCAGTGCTTCAGTTGCCACCCATGCTTACGTACAACTTTATCACCAATAATATACATTCATTTGAGAAGGGGAAGAAGAAAAAAAAAAAGAGTATAATCTAATGGTCCGTACTATAAGCCATAGTAAACAAATTAGGTAACTTTTGGACAACCACACATTTTCTAGGCCTTGGAATTTGGAAGTGCTCTAGTGTGCATTTAACAGACCTTTTCAATCCCACCTAAATTTTCAACGTAACTAGCGAAATTATATTCATTTGTGCTATACAAGATGTCATCATTTGATACAACTCTTACCATAGTCGATATAATTATGTAGATAAATCATAATTAATACAATTTTCATATGAATAATAAATGAGGGTATGTTTGATAATATTTCACTATTAGAAGAGCAAAATTGCCATGAAAATTTATAGAGGGACTTGTTTATAAACTTTGTCAAATCTACCTATGATCCAACTTTTGGCAATCAAATGTTTAAACCAATTATTATAAGATAAACTTCATCGGAAAAAAAGAAGTTATTCAAGATAAAACTCATAAAGAGATCAACTCACAGGGACAGATATAGCCGGAAGACCAATGAGATTTGGTGCGATGATAAAGCGCATAAGAAAACCTGCCACAATGAGCAAGCAATGTAAACAACATCTAAGTACCACAAGTCTCAGCTAAACAATTTTCTGTACCAGACGTTCTCGTGATTGGATTCATTCATATGAGTAAATTTTATAAGAATGTTAGAATTTCTCCAAAAAAATGCTTTGAAGTTTTCAATTTTAATACAATCAAGTTGGCATCACTAGCCAACTTGGTCTACAAGAATCAAGTTCATTAAATATTTGAATTGGCAATTAGGTAAAATATTTGAGGTTTTATTTGGAATAAAACATATTGCGGTCGACATCAACACCAAGACAAGCTCGAAAGCTTCTGAGTTGCAACAAACGATGAGATTAAACAACAAGGGAGCTTGATCCATACTCGTTACTTAGCCAACAAGAAGTTAATCTCAACAGTCATTGATGGAGGAAGTTGTACAAACATGGTAAACTCAACTATAGAGATGCAGGAGGACATCAACAAATAGAAGGATGACTTGAAGGCATCGTTCAACCAAGAGAAGCAGCAAAAAGGAGGCATTTAAGTAGGAAAAGGCGGACATGCAAACGTCATTTAACAAAGAGAAAGCCAACATTTGAAGGCGTCGGGATGATAAATGAAGAAGTTTAGGAGCAACATCGCATTAAGGAGGAATGATGAGAACATCGACACTAAAGCTACTCAGCCAATTTCAACTCCAACATTAGTGCGTCACGAAGAGCTCTACGCTTTGGGTTTGAGCTCTAGAAACAATTGTTGCACTAACCAAAAATGCTTTCCATGTGTGATTCTATACAAGGTAAGGACAATGTGGTTGATGAAGCCATTTCTCGAATGTATTCTTTAATCTAGTCTCTTGATGATAGAATCATTGGACTCGAACACATAAAAGAGTTATAAGTTGATGATTCTAACTATGGAGATATTTGTAGGGCTTTGAGAAACATGGTGAAGGAAAATATAATCAAGCTTATTGTTATTTGTTTCGTGCTAACCAAATTAATATATATATAAAGCACAAGTGAGGTTAATGTTGCCTAAACTCACTAGCTGATTGGGCGGCTATACATTTAACATTTTAATACCCCGAATTTAATTTTAATGTAAAATCATTGAACAATTATGTTTCGGTATCTAAATTTTATGAGATTTTCATACCTACAATTTTTACAAATTTACATATTGGTCCAATTTTAGATTTCACTTGAATCCATGAATCCAATTCACTAATCCTTTTGAACCAATCCATGAATCTAATCCACTATAATATAAAAGTATAAATTTAGTTTGTACCATACAAGATGTTGTATTACTCAAGTGTAGGAGAGGATTCGACCATTTTATATGTGCTCATTACGTGAAACATTAAATAAATGATAAAAGAGAGACGACTCTAAAATATTACAAGAGCGATTTTATAAACTCATTTAGTACGTTTACGGGATACTAAACATACTTCCACTAACTACATGTAACAAAATATGAGACTTCTACATAAACAAGTGTCAATAAATTGCTACGGTGAAAATGGTTGACTATTGTATTGACGGCCAACTAAAAGAATTGTTCAAAACATTTCCATCATCTACTTACTCTTCGTTTCATTTTTCACTCGTCTTCCATAACCCTTTCTTTCTTTCTTTGTCTTCTTCGTCTAACCCTAATTAGTATACAATTTTTATGTATTATAATCACAAGTGTGAATGGGTCCATACACGACTCACTAACAGTCTAGAGAATTAATAATTGAACTATGAACCATTAACTTTTTCAACTCAATGTCGAGTTCAATTAAATATAAATATATATGGTTATTACTTATTAGAAAGTCATCATTTTCCACTATGGGATTTGACGGCGTGAAATTTTAAACGAGTTCCAGTTTGTATTCCTTTTGCTTCTCTCTAGAGTTTTCTTTTTCATCTGGGCTAGAATTTTCAACAATTATACATGGAATGTTTGGCTAGGTATCTACACATATCAAATAATAGTTTCCATTTTTCTATAAAAAAGTAAATAATTATCATCTTAAATACATCACCATAAAGGAATTAATCCTCAACTATGAAAATTATAGTTCGGTACCTAAACTTAATTGATCTTTAAATTTATAACTTAAAATTATTTTTTTGGCACATAAGTCCTCAAAATATTGATGGAACATTACATTTTAGTACCTAAAATTTTTTGTATGACATTTTGGTACCTAAACTTCTGAAATTCTACAAGTAGGTCTAATTTTTGTATGTGTAATTAAAACATTCTCGAATAAATGGGTATTCATACCCAACTCATATATATTTAAATTATGGAAGTAAATATCCATACCCTACCCAAACTCATCTACAAACTTCCCTACCCATATATATGTCACCCATACCCCTACCCATAATCAATGGGTCTACTTGGGTTTAGGTAAATATAATTTATTAGCCAAAATTTTCAGAAATTATTAAATTGAATGTGCACCACCATATATCTCTTCTCAATCAATATCATATTGTCAAGTCAATATTGCTAACAAAATTGCTAAAAACTTTAATTTTAGACTAATAATACTAACAAAACACTATAACAGGCCACATAATACATGTTCATAGGCCATCTCCGCTCCGCGACATCGCCCCCTAGTATATATGTATGCCCCATGCTTCTATTATGGAGTTATTGGTTAGAGAATGATGGAGGTCTTATGGCTCATTTCCGGGGATCACCCAACACTTTGAATTGCTATAGGCTAGCAGGTGGTTTGCGCACGTACTTGTAAGTTTTGGTATAAAAAATACATCCGTATGTAGTTATGTATGCCTATGTAAGAGTTCGATTCACCACTTTGAGCTGGTACTAGGGTATTTTGTCACTAAACTAAAGTATCTACTCGATTTTTATTATATTACTAAATATTAATTTATATATAATTCATATTTTGAAAAGATGATACATCTCGCCATTGCGTACAAGAACCTTTTTATTGGCCCATATGAGAAGTGATGTGGAGTGAGTGGGTGCACAAAGTCTTAAATGCCGCTAACCCAAATCAAAAGTTCAAACAACCAGGTAATATACTCTTCTCTCTAGGAGTAAACATGGAAGATATAATGTCTTTGTTGTGGTTGATCGTATTATGAAAATGACACATTTAAATTCCACGTCACAAAAGTGATGATGCTTCCTATGCAGCTTACTTATTCTTTAGAGAAATAGTGAAGCGGCGTTGAAAGTCTGTCACTATTCTATCTAATCGTGATGCCAAGTTTTTTAGTTATTTCTGAATTTTTTTGTGGAATAAGTTAGTAACTAAGTTGATGTGTTCTATAACATGTCACCCTCAAACAGAAATAGTCAATAGTTGTCTCATACGCTTAGGGCTGCAATTCAAAGTAATATCAGAACTTTGGAGGAATGTTTGCCTCATGTTGAATTCGTATATAATAAGGTTATTCAGCCTACTACTAAGTTTTCGCTTTTTGAATATGTGTAGGGTTTTAATGCATAAGGTTATTTTGAATATGTGTGATTTTAATGCATTGACGCCTGTGGATTTAACTCTGTTACCTTCTGATGAGCATGTTAACTTGGTGCGAATAAAGAAGAATTTGTCCAGAATTTAAATGAGAATACAGGATTGAACAACGAGAGGTACACTTGGCAGATTATGAAAAATGTGAACAGACATAGGCGACCTCATAGATTTGAAGCTGAGGTTCGGTTTGGGTACATATGAGGAAGGAACGTTTTCCGCTATAGAGATGTTCTAAGCTGCTGCTGCTGCTGCTGCTGCATGGATAGCTAGGCAGTACTGCTAACATCACCTAAGCTTATCCTAGATAGCTAAATTAAACATTCTACATTTTTAAAATTTAATTAGAAAAAGAAAACATGAAAAATGAGAAATCAGACGAGGGACAAATAATAGACGAGAATTAAACCTGTAGTCTTCATGTCACTCTCTCCGCACTTGAGAGCACTGCGAGGAATCATAGGTGCTGTGGCTCTGTTTCACACAAAAGGAGGTCAGGTGAGAAGAAGAAGAAGAAGAAGAAGATCAAGCCTGCCCTCAAACCAAGAGATGCTTGGAGATTATTCTATAATAAGTTAACAGGACAGGGATATAATCAAGGTAAGGAGAGGCTGGCGTGAGCAGTAATAGTCGAAGTGTCGAGAGCAGAGCAATCCATTGTTTCCTTCTCGTTAACAACTTACCCAGTTGTAGGAGTAACAATGACATCAACATTCTTGAAAATTTCCAAGTGATGGTACATTATTCTTCTCCTGCAAAAACAACAGCCACCCGCTTAAAATCACTTCATTTTCTCTTACCAGTTTTCCATTTACCACCATCATGTTAAGCTCCGCACCGGCAATGGCTTCTGAGTGAAACATCTCTTTAGGTTCAAAGTTTGAAGCACCAAAAACCTTATAGACTCACCTAATGCGTTGAGCACTAACATATTCAGATCCAGTGAATGATCGGAACAATGCATCACTAGTGCGACTCTCGCATGTCAACTTGGCACCTTTCCTGCATACAGGGTTGATTATACCGTAGTAATAAAATTTAAAAAAAAAAACAACCAAATTATTGAACGGTCAACAATTCAAGAAGCCTGAACGTTACCCATTACTGATGTGAGGACTTAATATCGAATGCATATCAGCTCCAATGGTAGCAAGGTGAGCAGTCCGCATTTCCAGCAGCTCTGGTATCAAAATCTCCACCATCTGCCAACACACCATAGTTGAACCAACTCAATCCCGTTAGTGCCCATGTTAATGGGTAGCTTTAATTACATCGAAAGCACAGTACTTACTTCACAGCCATGGGTCTTACACAGAAGGGAAAGAGCATCCCCGCACTTGTCCAAGACCTCCGTTTGCTTAACATCATTAAACCACTGTTGTGGGGAATAGTCAACATTCACTCTTAGACTCGGAGATTACATATGAATGAACCAAGAAGAAAAAAGTATATGTCACTCAAATGTATTCATTTGTTTCATTTTTGCTAACTTTTTTATTATTATTTAATTAGTGGTCACTGACTTTACATTTACGTCTCACTACTAGTCACCCTCTATTTGATTCAGTCAAAATATTATTCGTGTCAATCAACAATTCTACCTTCACCCTATGTGTCAATCAACAATTCATGCCCTCTTTCTCCAACCCCTAGAGTCTCAACTTGCAGCAGCCATCTCGATTAGCCAGCAGCAAGTTAGGAAGAAGAAGAAGTGATAAAACTAAAAATTGTGCTCCCCCCCCCCCCCCCCCCCCCCCCCCCCTAACTGACACTTTATTAGCCTAAGGGTCAAATAGAAGTGCTGAGCCATTTTCTCTAATACTTTTTCCGGTTCCGTTCTTAGTTCTTACCGCGTTAACGTGAAAGAAATTAATAAATTGCAGAAAGGAGGTAGATGAGTTTATTAGTTTATTTCCACCCACCGGTGTGTATCTTCCAAGTCGAACTGATCCGACCACATCCGTACTCTTCTTTGCTGATAACTTCGGGAAACAAGGTGGAGACTACAGAGAGGGGCATTGATAAAAACATTGTGAGAATCCAAGAATCGTGTAATGCAAATGATAGTTGCAAATGCAGATTTAAAACATTACCGGGTGCAGGCTAAATCTATCCACCGGTGAAGAACCAAGAATTGCTGCATACCTAATAAGTTGGAAAAAAATGGAAATTTTGTTGTGATCGTTATAGTCTAGTTTTATTAATCTGGGAAGAAAACTAACATCAATAAGAAGTACTCACACGAGCATGAGATCCTCCAAGGAAGATGCAATTGGTCCAATGATCTCCACAGTACCAGCTTCACACAGAGAACTAGGCAAGCAGAAAAAATCACCAGCTTTATGAATGAAGAAAGTTAACACCTATTTATTAGCAAAATGAGACATTAACAACTTCGAAATGCTTACCCCTTCATATCCGTGCGTCCGTAAGTTGTTTTCATGCCAACTACACCACAAAGGGAAGAAGGAATGCGGATTGAACCTGCCCTTTTCCAATGCCATTGAAGGAAAGGAACTATAAAGGTTAGCAAGTGTTCACAAGAAAACAAATCAGTAAGCTGAGCAGAACATGATTCGAACACAACCTCCACCATCAGTCCCCAAGGCAGCAGAGCACAGTCCGGAAGCTACAATTGCTGCTGGCCCTGACGACGATCCACCAGTGTATCTGTCTGGGTCATGAGGGTTCCTTGTCGTTCTGCGTCCGATAACGATAGTTAAAATGGGTTGTTTCCTTTCCTACATCACGGTTTACGTCCAAGTAATGAACTAACCCATAATTTGGATTGTTTCCTGTAGTTCCCATGCCCAACTCATGCATATTTGCCTTCCCTACAAATATAACACCGCAGCTGCGCAGTCTAGAAACTGAAACTGCATCACTTTTTACGGGGCGAACATCATGCATCCACGTTGTTGCACCTTCGTGTTGCAAAGGGGGAAAAAAATTAATACCTTAGAATTCGTTAGCCAGGACAAAGACTAGTGAACAGAAGGAACAAAAAGGCCAAATGGGGTACCCTTAGTTTGGTAAGGAAGGCAATCTATATCATCTTTGATTGCAATAAAAATTCCATCCAAGACCGATATTTCTTTTCCTGTAAAATCCCAACATTCCCAACACGAGTCAGATTATGATAACTGCAGCCAGAACCTGGAATCCAACAGTTCATTGGATCAATAGAGCAGTTTACCTTCACTGAATCTTTGAGTGGATGCTGCAGCTTGCTTCCTTATATCATCAACATCAAAAGAAACCAACAGGGGACATGGTGGAGTCTTCCCCTCGAAATCCTTTAAAGCCAAAACGATATTCTCTGCCACCTACAACAGGAGGATCTGATAGTGCCCATTCTTGCATAATTGAATTATCAGCAAAGGACACTCTAGCAGTTATAATTTATTACCATTAAGGGGGTCACAAGCTTTGAACGATAAGCATGTGCATAGTCGCGAATCGTCCAGTATCTGAAACAGGTGCCTGGGTTCTCATCCAAGGAGTGAGCAGGATTGTAATCAGGAAGACACTTCAATGCTGATGCTACCCTTTCTTCTGGCGTTTCCAATTCATCCACTATGTATACACCACGTTCTGGTTCTGCATCGAATCTCATCCATGTTTCAGCCATAAGCTGCGGCTTTATTTTCTTGTCTTCCTCTTGCTACTTGCAATTAAAAATAGTATGTAATGCACCCCGGAGGAACATACCTTGAAGAGGAAACTCCGGTTTAAACATGGGCAATTCAGGTATCTCAGTGTTCTGCAATAACTGAAGAATCAACCAGAAAACAATGCAAAACAGCTTGGTTCATCAATTATTTCTACAACGGCAAACCAGGAACAGATAAAAATAACATAATTAACCGGCTGAATCCTGAAGGAGGGAAGGACAGACCTCAATCATCTTGTTCTGCTTCTTCACGTGAGAAACTATCAGAGAACCAAAGAATGGAGATTCAAGTATCCTTGTAAACAGCTTCAATCTTATACCAGACAAACTTGGAGCTGCATTTCTCAAAGAAGAAAAAGGGTGGACCAATGTGAGTTATCTCATGAATTCAATTTTCATCGAGTAAGGAGGAAAAGGTACTGCAAACACTAACCTTGTACTACTTCTTGCTCGTACTTGACAGCAGACAAATCAATTTCATCCACAGGGACCATCACACGGTGCTTGCCCATTTCTATCTACTTCCCAGTCAATCAAGCAGAACTCCAGAAAACAAAGACCTTGTAGAGAAAGAAGCCCGTTCGAGGAAATGCCTCACAGAAAACTACCCAAATTCAACGTAGAAAGTAAAACTGTGACGCTGTCAATTAATCACACCGTCTCCAACTATAAAAAAAAAAAGCTCTTCTCGATGGGAACAAGAGGACTGGGCTTTGGACAGAGAAGGGAAAAAGAATGACAGTCCCAAAGATGAAGATGGAAATGGCGGTGAGACTCTGGAGCTTAGAGAGACAAAGGAGATGGAGGAGGAAACAAGAGTATTAATCTCTTGACAGTGAGAGGATGGCAGAAGCAACCAAGCAGATCAGGAACTTCGTATGGATTTCCATACAGGAAGTCGACATATGGACTGCGACGGAAAGTGAGACACAAACAGAGACGTTGACAACAATGGAGCGCGAAGCAGTCAAGCAGAGGAACGGGGCCAACTCAAGGTGACAAAATCATAAGACCCACTGGGAATTGGGAAAAGCAAAAATATAACCAAATGATCCATCTTTTTGTCTTCTCCACTGAACTGCTCCAAACCCATCACCTGCAGTAATGGCGAGAAGCAGCTCCAAAAGCAGTACAGTTGGTTTCACTATTAGGGTGGACTTTGTTTTATTCCACTCGACGACTTCGTCGTCCATGGCCTCTATGACGACTCAACCCCCCGGTTTCATCCCGGCAACCTTACCAGGAAATTCATCCCGCCGTTGACTCGTCCTGGCAATCTTACCTGGAACTGGTCGACGTTTCCCACTGACATCTTCTCTTCTTGCGGCTTCTAGAGTAGACCAGCTGGATTTCGGAGGGGGTGCATGAACAGTACACCACCACCAGGCAAGAGATAGAAACTCTAATTGATTTTCAATTCCTCCATACATGGCGTCGGATCGAACTGCGACTAACAACTAGAGAACAATTATCGTAACGCCGCTACCTTGTTCAGGATCCAAGCCTTGAACTCGACTGGGGCTTCTGTCGACAACGTTTTCGATTACCAAAACTATCCGTCGATTTACGCCATAGCGATCGTCAATAGAGAAATTAGGGATGGATTATAATTAGGGTTCAACCCGTTTGGACAGTATTAGTTAAGCCCACTCGCCGTGTTGCAGGAATCGCATCCCATCGCTGCTGCCGGCGATTCTGACGATGTACATTGTCATTCCCGCCTGCGAGGAGTCGAGGATGGGAGTGGTTAGTAGTTGGTACACTTTGGTTGATGTTGTGGTTGAAATTCGGCTACTTTCACACAAGAGTTACCATCACAACTCGATTTCATTTTATAAAAAAACTAGAAAATTGGCTTGTGCTTTGCCGCGGTAATTGGTAGGCTATACTCTCAAATGATTTGAAATAAACTTTTGATTAGATTAGAACTATAATATATAAGTTTAGAAGGCGTGAGCAAGAGCGAGTGCGAAGGAAATGGAGGTTCAAGCAATCTAGATTGTAGCATGCAAGGTATGAATGTTGCTCACTGATAGAATTGCCTATTTAGAGAACAAAACTAAACTCAACTTGATCCCTTCATCCATCACTTAATTCAAGGCTTAGGTGTACCACCATCACATTATTTATCAAAAGGTTAAAATCAATTATTAAAGCAGACAATGGTGATAACAAATTGCGTCAGTTCAACATTTACAATATGTACGTGAGGATCATTTCCTAATCTTAACAGCTACATAAAACCACCATGATAAGAACAAAGCCAATTAAGACTATCCGCAGCTGGCGGGCTTAAATTATTTGATAAGAACCAAGGTAAATAAAGGTATTGCGTAAGTGGAACATTATACAGAACTGAATCCTATGAGAGGGAAGAGTATTTACTAATTGTATTAAAGCTATGATCATGAGGCTATAAATCTATGCCGAAGTTGTGTAATCTTGGCATTCTTGAACCTGTAAAACCAAAAGCCAGCCTAGCATACAACCGAAAAAACATCAAGAGGGCCTTTTCAAACAGACAAATGGAGTTAGACATAACAAAAGTAAAGTGGACCGAGAACCTCCCTTTTAAAGCACTAAAATCGATTGGGGTTACATTTGTACCCTGCTAGATAATTCCTTAACTTCACCTGCATATCTAATTTGGCTTGTATCAAGTTCATCTCTTGAACTCCTCCAAGATTCATTTTCTTCTTTGCTGCATTAGGGGATTCTACAGAACTCTGAGCAAATTCACTATGTAAAGATCCTCTATTATGCATTCAACCGGCTACGCATATGTTGGGTTCTTCTTTTTCTTCTGTTTCCTTTCTTCTTCTCAAACTTACAATACAGTTTGTCTCGTGACCTTCAGAAGGGATTCAGGTCATTTTCAAAGTACGACATATAACCCAAAATTAGGGCATAAGCTGAAGCTATATGGATCAAGCCAAGGATTCTGATTAAGCAATCTACTTCTGCATTTGGTCACTTCAAAACTGCAATGAAGGCTCTGCAATTAAGCAACCACAACATACTCACTCTTAAATATATACTGAGTTACTAACACACACCATAACATGAGTAGATAAGGGAAATGATACAACTGGAACTCCATATATTGTTCAATAGACCTAAAACCAAGAGACAGATTTGCTTAATAAATTGATTCCCAACCAACTAAAATGAAATCCACATCCAAATACCAAACTTCCCTTACCAACCATTACCATATGGCGCAAGCTAACTATAACACAATGAGAAGCAATCTAGGGATCAAATAAAATACTCCAGCTAAGAGATAATATCGGTTATGATGCATTGAAATGAGAACAAACACAAATTGCTTTTAATACCCCACATGAACCAAGGCAAACAACTACTGGGGAATGAAGAACAAACAATAAAGAGATCTTACCTTCAACGCGGGAATCTCCCTGAACAAATCCATCCCACAACATCCATATCCAAAATATAATTTGGTCACCGAACTGAGGAAGAGAGACTGCAAGCAACATAGAAAAGCATCAATCCAGTGAAAAACGAATGGGAGAGAGATCGACCGTCAATCAACACAATAGATGACAACTCACGGGAGCGGAATAGATAGTTCATTAACATACTACTGAATCCTTTAAGCATAACTCGCCAACAAAACTCACTCACACAATCAGTGGAAACTTCCAGGAGAAAAGTTTCCATCCTTACATTTGGGCAAGGACCAATTAAGGATAATAATGATAAGAGTTGGTAAAATCAACACAAAGCTTCTAAATGAAGGAGAACACATAGTTCTTCCGCGAGTTCTGTAATCTAATTTTCCTATCAAGTATTCTATCATTAGATGTAAATATCTACACAATAAACCACCCATACGCGAATGACAGCAGCGCCATGATTTTAGTCATACCCATATCTAAATCCAAATATCCGAATGCAGACAAATTTTGTGTCTTCTATGAAGCTGAACCAAGTACCAACTATGTATAGTACTCTGCGTTAACTTGTATCAAAGAAATGAAAGAGTAACATAGTGTATCTTCGAAAACTTGGACCAACTTGCGATAGTTCTATCCATTAAGTTATATATTTCAAAGAATTGATGGACCAAAAGAGGATTGTCATACCAAGATTAACTGGATTCATCAACCGTGTCATTCCGGCATGAGTACTTTGTTATTCTTCCTTGTGAGCAGGTGTTTCAGTTTTATAAACTACATCTCTACTCTTGTGGCAAAGAGCACATTCTGCATCTAGAAAGCATGTTTGAGCTACCAAAATTCAATGTAAATATAGAATGTGCATTTTATTTACCTTAAACATGAACATGATAGTACTATAACACCAAAATGTCACAATTATAAGATATAACTTACTCGTCATAACCTGTATGTTTCATCCAAAACTACATAAGCTAAAATATGATTTCATATTTACAGTTCCCATGAAACATTCACTACAATGGGTTTATGCTAAATCAGTTAAGCTCATGAACCGTCCATGAATTCAGGGTAAAACCCATCTCCTTACTGGAGAACGTCAATTCAAAGCCAAGCGTAAGCCTGAAGGACAAAACTGACGAAGGAAAAAACTGCTCTTGCGATCAATGTAGGTTATAATTCTAGTGAAATAAGAAGGCGAAATAGTAATTTGGGATCAGGGAGGACGTACCGACTATGAGGGTGGAAGAGCTGGGTCAAGTTGAGGGGTTGTGACTGCTTAACCGAGGAAGAGAGACTGCAAGCAACAGAGAAAATCATCAATCGAGTATCCACATGCCTCGAATTGTTATTTGAACTCAAGAATCGACAGTAGAGTAACATAGCAGAATGAAACCCGGAGGCTTCAGCTGTTCGTCAAAGAAGACGGTGACAACTTCAATCCCCCTTCTCTTCCCTAGTCCCTACTCGCCACCGATGGCCCAGGCTTCTCCAGCCGCCAGTCAGTGACTCAACTTCGTCAAGCGCCAGTTGATTGACAGGGAAAGAGAAGAAATTGAGCTACCCTAGGCTTCTCCAGCCGCCAACTGGGTCTATGCTGCACTCAAACGTGGGTAGTGTAGGGTTTCTGGAAGGGGAAGGGAGATCCAGAGTTGAGTAGCCGCCAGGCAATCGTCGGAGGGAGACCGAGTCATTCACCATCGAATCAGATTATAAAACTTGGGCAGCCGCCAAGCCAATCGCAGAGGGAGAATACGGGTTGGGTAATTGGAGAAAGCAGGTGCAGAATAGTCACGGTGTACCCTACCTTATTTTACTGAACCCCTTAAGTACATTGGCCAATTAATATTACTAATAACTAACAAGAACATGTTTTTACTTTCATCATGGGAGGCGCAAGGCCAAAGAGAAAGGAAGGTTACAGGGGGCCTGAATTAAGACTGGGAGAGGGTGGTGGTAACTATAACTTCCCTAGGCAGAGTAGCTCCCCTATTGTTCTCGTCTATCCCTACGGGTATGTATGAGCTAGCTTCACAACCCAGTTTTGAGACATCAAACGTCTAATACCTGAAAGCAAAGTTGCATAGGAG